ACACTGACTGCATTTGCATGAATGATCCTAAGTTGAGCCTGGTTAAACCACAGAACCTTAGATGGTTGTGCTAAGCTGCTGAGTTTTACAAGTGTCTGGTTTCTAGTGGCAGTTGAAAACTGAATACCTGTCTACTCCATGAAAAACTAGAATAGCTAGAACATACCACACACACACACACACACACACACACAACTGTGCACATGTTTTGGAGGGGAACCAATACAGTCAAGAATTGAAACTAAGGGCTATATTCGTTGAGAGAAGCAAAGAATCCAAGGTGAAGTCAACCTTTACTTGGCTTTTCCCAGGAGGACAACTTCCAAATGAGGGAGAAAGCTCAAACATGAACTGGTATTCTTACTGGGCTAAGTCGACAGCAGTTCATTCAAATTGTTGGCCAGCTCCTAATCTGTGATGTTTGGGGTGAAACTCCAAGAAACCCAGCAAAATATAGTAGCAGGGAAACTGAAAGCTGAACAAAGATTTGAACACCTGCATAGCTTTTGAGAACCAGAGGCCAGAGTTTCTGCCAAAGTGGAAGGGCTTTTTGATAAATACATCCAGTCTGCAGTTGAGACCCAGAAGTGACCCACCCAGGAACACACCTGAGAGGTGAGAACCAGTACCAAGATGATGGAGCTGAAATACATGAGGCCTAACCAAAGCTAAAACTAACCCTTCCCAGGATCAAGGTGACCCACTGGTACTCTTTGCCTATGAAGAAAACTGTTCTTTCTTTTTAGAGAATGAAATCATTGTCCGGAGCTGAAAGAAGCATTCATTTAAAATGTTCAGCATCCAGTTAAAAATTGTGAGGTGCACTATAAAAAGGACCAAATCATCAAAAACCAAAAAAGAAAACAGAGAAGATAAACAAATTCACCTGCAAATCACATATTTCCATTAGCAGACAAAGACCTTTAAACAAATATAAAATGGTAATGTAACTACCGTTAATATGATAAAAATAGACAAAAAGACAGGGAAATTTTCATATTCTGGAGAGACAGGGGCCCATGCTCAGTGACGATTGGCATCGGGACTAGAAGCCACAGTCTGAACGCCAAGGGCAGAAGGTGACCCTCATCTGAGATAGGTTAGTCTGAGGCGAGCCAAATTGAACTGAGGTGATCTGTGTAGCTGTTTGCAACATTTGAATCAAAATGCACTCAACACCTTGGACTCAGTGTTCCCTGTCAGTCTGGGCTGCTATAACAGAATGCCACAGACTGGGTGACTTAACAGAAGTTTGGAGGGAGGGTATAGCTCAGGGGTAGACCACATGCTTAGCATGCATGAGGTCCTGGGTTCAATCCCCATTTCTCCATTAAAAATAACCAAAAGAAAACAATGGAAGGAAGGAAGGAAGAAAAGAAAGACAATAGAAATTTCTTTCTCCCGGTGCTCTTCCTCTTTGTCGGCTGGCTTCTCATTGAATCCTGTCAGAGGGGAAAGCAACAGAGCAGAGGGAATGCAAACTCTCTCTGTGTCTTTTTATAAGAGCACCAATCCTATTTCTGACGGCTCCACCTCATGAATTACGTCCCACAATTAATTAATTAACCACTTCCCAAAGGTCCCACCTCCTCATGCCGCCATATTGGGATGAGGATGCCAGCATATGAGTTTGGGCGGGTGGGACACAAACATTCATGCTGTTCACGTAGCACTGTTCTTCCCCACTAGGCTGGTAGATGGTGACCTCAGTCAGGGAGCAACCAGTGGTGGGACAACCAACCCCCAGCCCAGTGCCTGATACATACAGGGCCCTTGACCCTCCTATGAGACCATAGCTTTAGACTGGTCTTCTTGGACTGAGGAAAATCTTCATCTGAGAGCAGCCTGTTAGATTACACTGACTCTTCCAGAGCCTTCCACGGCTGTCTGCTCACTGCTTACAGTGTCCTAAAAGAAACACTTGCCTTACATGGTAGCTCTTTAGGGAAAGTCTCCAGAGGACTTATCGCAAACAGTTCTCTACCTTGAGAGGTGATTTTGAAAAACGGAGAGGTTGACTAGTCACAGATGGCCATGAATCTTTAAGCCGTGTATTAACCATCAGGGAGATTTGAAAATCTCCATCACAGACCTGTTTCAAGTACAGACAAGGAGGCTGTTCTTCAAGTGTTTAACTGGGACCCTCACATAGCTGAACTGTGTGTCTCTTGCCCCCATGTCTCCCCACCCTGTTCCCATATTCATATGTTGAAGTCTTAGCCCCCCCCCATTACCTCAGAATGTGTCTGTACTTGGAGACAGGGTCTTTAAAGAGGTCATTAAGGTAAAAATGAGGTCATCTGGGTGGTTCCTCATCCAACATGACTGATTTCCCTATAAAAAGGAATGACTAAGGACAGAGGCCTTTGAAGAAACCAACCCTGCCAGCACCTTGCTTTTGGGCTTCCAGCCTCCAGAACTGTGAGGAAATAAATTTCTGTTGTGTAAGCACCCTTAGTCTGTGGTGTTTTGTTAGGGCAGCCCTAGGGGATCTGTGGAGACCCTTTATTTAGCTGAAGCCTGGTAGGCTGGAGAGAGAGCCTTCTTTGGGAGCATCGTGTCTGCTCAACCTCGTTTTCTTCAGGAAAAGACGAGGGGAATCCGGTGTCCTCACTAATCCCCTCTCCCTCCCCACCCATCATTGTGCACACCCTTCCTCCCTTCATCTCACAACCTGAGAAAGGAGATGTCACTCTCCTAGCGCCTTTGTCAGAGGCGGGTCCTGGGAGGGTGGATCCCACGTCAGGAAGCTATAACTCAGTCAGACGTTTGTTCTATTCCATCTGTCCCAACTGCGAGAAACCTTAGCAGGGCTTAATTTTCACAGTATTTCCAGGGACCGCCCACTCCCCTTGGTAACTTTTTGGAGACTTACACTTATGTTATCATTTCCTTCTCCCCACCCCCTACTTTTTTTTTCAAATCTCCTTTAATCTTGGATTAATGTTATACATAAAAGAACCAAGCATTAATCTTTGGCTTCCCCATAGGCGATGAGAACAGAGTTTCTTTCTATGAGTTTTTCAAAGTGGAAGATAAGGAAAATGCTGACAAGTATAATGAAAGGTAAACATAAAAAAGTCTTAAATAGATTTGAATTCCTGTTAGGTGGGCCCCTGGGAGACTTTTCTCTAAAGGCTGATTTCTGACAGGTGCAGATAAGGGAGGCCAGCTCATCTTTTTCCATTTCAGGGAGGTGATTTTAGAAAGGGCTAGAAGAGATATTCTTAAGGGTGGGAAGCCCACTAGTCTCAAAATGTTTTGGCAGAATTTGTCACCTTGGTTGCTCTCCCCGAAGAGGGAAAAACCCAACTGTAGCTCGCTTGCTTGCTTGCTTTTCTTTCTTTCTTTTTCTTTCTTTTTCTCTCTCTCTCTCTCTTCCTCCCTCTCTCCCTTCCTTCATCTTTTAATCATGAAGGGTTATATGAATGAAGAAAACCAGTGTGGGGCTGGTGTCCTCCCTGGATGATCGTCATAAGCCAATGGAGGGGCAGAAATGCAAGAAGAGACTGGAGAAATAGGGTTAAGAGTCTGAGAGGAACGTGGTGTCAATGGCTAAAGAATAAAAAACAGAACTGAAAATCAAGTAGTTTCTTCAGGGGCCCAAGCACTTGGATGTTTGCTCTGGCAATACTGATTACACCATCTAACATGGCAGTTGTTCGTATACGGGGGGTAAGGGAGAGGTTGGGGGTGGTGCAGCCAGACTCAAGGAATCTTGGGATGAATATCCTTTCCTGTAAGATTATACTGAGGGTAAGATGACCAGATAGAATCTATTGTCCAAACTAGTACTCTTGTGAGTCTGAAAGGGGACACTATTTAATAAGTCGGCATGAACCAAGACCATCCTACGAGGAGATGTAAATCGCCCTAATGGGGGTCGCCTCCCCAGCCAAATTTTTCTTTATGCATGCGGTACCCACAGCAAGAAATACGATGAAAATCACAGCTATGTTGCTTAGCACAGTGCCTGGTACTCAAACTAAGGGTAACTGTCTTACTTTCCCCTCAGCAACTCTACAGGGGGGAGATGTAAACACTTTAAAATTACAACAAATACCTGCCACCTCATTCCTAGAGGAGAGGGGTTATGGGTATACGGGAAATTGGGACTCAGAGAAGCAGGGGAACTTCTAACTCGAAAGAATTTCCCTCCAGAACACACAATGGGCCACTACAGCTCTATTGCCTCCGAGTGATACCTTCCCTCTTTTATTTGGATAAACTGTATCCCTCTTCCTAAACTCTGCTCACATCCTATGACCCACAGGAAGCTTCTCAAGACCACACGACTGCATCCTCTTCGCTCCAGCTTCTGAAAGCCAAGTAGAGAGTTAGCTTCATTTTACATGACTTGTGTGTTAATTTCAACTCCCAACGAACATGTAAGAATTTTCCTTTTGTGTCTAACATCACTTCCCCAAACACAAAGGCCTTTAAAAATAACTATAGGTAGATACATAGACTCAGAGATCACATACACACAGAAAAGCAGGCTGGTTTCCCGTGTTGAAACAAGATGAACTTGTCCTGTTGCTCTGCATCTTGCTAATGAAAGATTCAGCCTACACCCTCGCCATTGCCCTATGCTTTAAGCCCCACAGTGGAACGTACTGCCTACATGCTGCATGTACCAAAAAGCAGTTTTAGTCAGTTTTTCATTTTAGGAGGTCTCTTTCTTAGAACTGAAACCACACATGGACATGGACCCAACTGGATTCATTTCATTGGAAAGACCTATCATCATTTTGTGTACGAGTTCTTTCTTTCTATATCTACTTGTAAATTTAAAAAATAACTTAATTGCAAAGAAGTGAGGTACATCGAAAATGACCAAATTAAGAACTATACTTCAAGCGTAAAGTTGAATTTCTCAAGTTCACCAAACCTTGCTTTTGTGGCAATTTAACCAAGATAAAAAAAAATTAACTAAAACATATATTCCCATAAAATCTGGAGGATTGCTTAGATATTACCAAATAAGTAAGACACTAAAAGAGTTTTCCAAAGATTTATTGAAGCAGAAACAAGTTGGATCAGATACTTGTTGGAAAAAAGCAGTTTTAATAGTATTCAAAAATACTTTTTAAAAAGTATTCTAGCACAAGGCTCCTTCGGTAAACTAGATTATGTTGTAAACTTTTTTCTAAATCTCTTACAAGTGTTGGTTCTTAAGAACTAGAGCTTATTCCTATTCCGAATCTATCTTGCGCTCCTGAAAAAACTGCAGAAAGGCACTTGAAAGCTGTTTCTTTAAGATATGAATTTCTTTTTTTATTCTTGCTGGTCATATTTTGCTGCACTGAGTATGTGCAGTTTTTACTCCAGGTCATCATGATGCTGGGAAGTTTCATTGATAACCTGTTAAGAAAAATAGAACTCAAAATCAGATATAATACTCTATATGGATGATTAAATTACCCCATAAAATGTGTCAAAGGAGAATCCTAAGTACGCATAATTTATTGTGAAAGTTGGAAGACTGTGTTAGTTCTGCATTGGTCATGGTGGCAGGGCTGGGGGAGGACAGATAACGTATGTAAAATGCTCTTCATCTACATGCAAAATATGTATCCAATAGATTGTTATGACTTAAAAAAAGAAATTTAAAAAATACGGTATTTATGAAGAAGGATGCTGTAATAACCCCAAGCAGCAAAATTCAAAAGCAATCAAAACATGTCTTCTAGGGATAAATTTGGGAGTTTGAGATTTACAAATGCTAGCCACTATATGTAAAAATAGATTTAAAACAAGTTTCTTCTGTATAGCACAGGGAACTATGTTCAGTATCTTGCAATAACCTCTAATGGAAGAAATACGTAAATGAATATATGTATGTATATGCATGACTGAGACATTGTGCTGCACAACAGGTATTAACACATTGTAACTGACTGCACTTCAGTTAAAATCAATAAATTTAAAAAAACTTAAGTGTAGAGCAAGTATATTTTGAGTTTATGTGCAAGGGAAAATTATGGGAAGATTACAATACATTTTGACCCTTTCTTCCCTGGCACAGAGAGGTAATGAGAAACTACTTGATCCTAAGCATATCCTTGTATTACATCATAAAAGGGCCTAGGAGTGTTCAAGGGAGGCCGTGTATGTCCAGGATCAAAACATTCCTGGTACTGAGGGAGCCTAATGAAGCTAGTTTAAGGAGTAACTCAAGGAAGCTGTACTCCTGTTTCCAATTAAGCACCAAAGCAAATCACTAATTTTGGACTCCAGGAAGGTTGCCTATCTCATCTTCACATCTGGCAGCCAGATAATTAGCTGGCTTTGTGGAGGGCTGGAAAAAGAGGCCCATTCTCTTCTTAGGGGGCATCCCTGAAACTGAAACCTCCTGAATGAGCTGGCTGTATCGGAGACAGACTTATTGATTTAAAAGGCTATCACGGCCTGTCTGCGATTACTCCCGTTTTGATTTAAAGATACCAACCTGTCCATCTCTGGTTTCCACCGTCTTAATCAGAAGTGTCCTTTTGGAATGGGTGTCAACCAGTGGAATTGAATCCAGATTGGTTTCTGTATAAAGAAAAGAAACCCAAAATAAGTAACATGAAAAAATTTTTAAAAAGACAAGAAACATTTTTGTCCAAAGAATTATGATTTTTGTTCACAACTGTTTAAAGCGCTATTCCCAAAGTAATTCTAAAGACTGTCACCTATTTCAAAACTCAGGGGCTGACACCACTGTAGCATCAGAACGAGATGGACCACTTGAGTGCACACTCCATCCGGAGGAAGAAACATGGAGTTGCAATTTAATTGGGAGTAGAGGATTTAAGATAGTACTCGGGCTTGAAACTTATGGAGATCCTGTAGCATCTTCTCTCGCATGGCATTTTTCACGTACCACTTAAAAAAATGGGTGCTTTATAAACAAAATGGTTGCAAGCTGCTGAAATTATTCTTAAAAGACAATCAAATGCTTACCCCTCAGGTTCAGGGAAGAAAAGTTTGGAAGAGGCAGAGAGATCCTGTGACAAGATGAAGAGAAACAGTAAAATGTTTTGGAGAACAACTTGAACAACAAGGAACAAAGTTATACAAATTTGTATTAAAATTGTATTTTTTTCTGGTTTTTGTCAAATAAGAAAATTGACTCCTGTAATTTATAGGAGAGGGACTTGCTTCAGAAGCATTAGTCCACGACTGGACCCATTAGTACATGTAAATATTTTACTCCAAGCATTTTCTGCAAGGGGCTGGAGGTATAACAGAGTTGATGTTGGTTTTCCCAGAATCATGGGTTCAAATCTCAGCTCTGATATTGGTTAACTGACTAGGATAAGTAACTCAGTCTCTCTGAAGCTAAGGTCCCTCATCTGTCAAAAGTGGTAAGTAGCCACCTTGAAGAAACGTTCTGAAGATTAAGTGACATAACATCTGTAAAGCGAGGGGCATAAGACTGAGCGGACAGCAGCTCTGAATGCATTCGCTCTAGCCCTGGCTCCATACCTGCTCTCCTCTCCTTCCAACAGCTTCCTGTAGGTGGCAATCTCGATGTCGAGGGCCATCTTGACATTCAGCAGGTCTTGGTATTCACGAAGGTGACGCGCCATCTCTTCCTTCATGTTCTGAATCTCATCCTGCAGGCGGCCAATAGTGTCTTGGTAGTTAGCAGCTTCCACGGCAAAGTTCTCTTCCATTTCACGCATCTGGCGTTCCAGAGATTCGTTCTGCAGCAGATTGGAGAGGTGGCCAGTGTTATTTCCCAGAAAACCAAAACCAACACCCACCACTTCCAGACCATGGGCAATCATTTTCCCTAGTAGCAAATGGGAAATGCTCCAATTTTCAATTTTCAGCAGAGAATACAAGTACCAAGTCCCTTCCTAATAAAAGCAATAATAATAATAATACACTAAAACCTTCAGAGCTCCAAGTTCTTTTTGCATCTGTTCTGACAGCTCATTTTCTTGGGATTAAAATGCCAATTTTTCTTCCTTTTAACAAAACTGTGTTCTAATGACACCCTGAGCTTGGCCACCTGAATGGCTCCAAGCTGGCTATCTGCCCCCTTGCCCTGTGGGGTGATACTCACAGTCCCTTTGAGCGCATCCACTTCACAGGTCAGAGACTGCACCTGTCTCCGATATTCATTGGACTCCTGCTTCGCCTGGCGCAGGGCATCGTTGTTGCGGTTAGCAGCCTCGGAGAGGTCGGCAAACTGTCAGGGAGGAAGTGGAAACGTGGGTCACCCATGTGTCTTGTGCACAAATCCCCTAAGGTGCTACCTGGCCTGGACAAATGGGAAAGCTTAAAGCTGGCCAACAGACAAACAAATAAGACAGGATAACCAAACTGTAGGTTCAAAGTTCAGATCTCAACATCTTCCAGAATACGTTGAAATTTCTGTTTTGAAAACCAAAGAACATGAGGTGGAAGGCTGATGTTGAGATTTTCAAGTAGACATTCATTCTGCTTTCCCTCATTTTAAAAGCTGGGAAGGTCAAGGGCATGGCCTTGGGGTTTACTTCGAAGGAGGGTGACAGAAAGGGAGTCTGCTATTCTAAAGGAAGGCACGTGAGCAGTGCTTAGGGTTCAGCAAGAAATAAATAAGGAAGCAAAGGCAGCTACACTTGGGGGCTAAGAGGTATTTAGGAATCAGAGACAGGTAGGCGTTTGCAGAATAAAATGCTTTTCTTTTGCTCTGGCCACGTGTGCTTGTTTCGGACCTTGGACTTGTACCACTCCTCGGCCTCCTGCAGGTTCTTGGCGGCCACGCTCTCGTACTGCTGACGGACGTCACGCAGGGCAGCCGTGAGGTCAGGCTTGGAGACGTCCACGTCGATTTGGACGTGCTGTTCCTGAATCTGGGCCTGCAGCTCCTGGATTTCCTGAAGAGAGAAAAGACAGAAGATCAGCCATGCCAAGGATGGGAGCAGCTTCACCCACATCCATTCCCCAACAGTGACTCCTCTTACCTCCTCATGGAGTTTCTTCAAAAACGCAATCTCCTCTTGCAAGGATTCCACTTTACGCTCCAGGTCAAGACGTGCCAGAGAAGCATTGTCAACATCCTGTTTGAAAAGAGAAGGACGTGGAGGAGATGGTAAAGTCCCTGGCTTGTCCCATTTATTCATTTTAAATGAACCATCTGCACTTCGTCTCTTTACCATACAGAAGCCACTGACACATTTCATAACCTTTGAATAAGCTGATTAATCACACAGCACTATAATATACTGTGCTTTCTTCTCTTCATTAACAATTTTGAATTGTGACCCCACTGAGTTGTACTCAAGGGGGTTAACAGACAATTTAAAAATAAGTGTATGCCAATGTGGCCAACTGTGTTCAATCAATTATTAATCAGTTAATTAATTAATTGAAGTAAAGTGGATTTACAATGTTGTTAATTTCTGGTGTACAGCATAGTGATTCGTTTATGTATATAATATGTATTTCTTTTCATATTTTGTCATTTTAGGCCATTGCATAGTATTGAATATAGTTCCCTGTGCTATACAGTAGGACCTTGTTGTTTATCTATGTTATACATGATAGTATCTTCAAATCCAGAGGTATAGCTCAGTGGTCGAGCATGAGGTCCTGGGTTCAATCCCCAGTCCTTCCATTTAAAAAAAGGTTAAGGTGGTTAATCTATGATTATGGAGTCCGCATTATACCCATGAAGTTTTTTTTATTATTACTTTCTTTAATCTAGAAGATCAAAGCCACAGCATTTTAAAGATTTGGGGGAGGGCGGTAACATCATGGAATAAGAAATTCATGCTTCAGAAATTTCACAGATAATACTTAAGCTCTTTTTTCCGCCTCTACTCAGATCTCCTGATTTATTCTTAAACTCCAAAGCAAATTATCTGGCATTCAGGATACAAGGCTAGATTTATACTGCAATCCAAGATGTGCAATGGCAAATATGCAGTTCAATGTGGTTCAGGCATGTAAGGAAAAAAAATGTAACTCTGAAGTGTATTTACTTCGATTTCTCTGGCAGATTTTTCTCTGGAAACTCCCCTATGTTACACCACAAGGGTGTGTCCATCCTCTGACACTTCCATGCAATTGACAGTTTGCACTGTGTCAATTCAGTTAGTTCGTTTCAGAATGAAGGGTAAAAACGCACAGAGGGTAATTTACCTGTAAAATTCTTGCTGCTTCCTTTTGTGTTTCCACCATTTGTAAACTGCTACATCCCAAATATTTTATTTTCCCTCAAGGAAATGTCATGAGGACTTTTATACCTCATATTTTGTAAGCAAATATATTTGTTGTACTGTTTCTAGTCTTACAGTCTTAAAATGTTGACAAACTTCCATCACCTTCATGGAAACGTGAATGAGGTACGGGTAATAATTAAAAGATCAAGCATAGGAAAAAATTACTTTTTGCTTGTCCTTAAGCCCTAAAAAAGATACACAAGATTTACTAATCTCTATGAAAAAAAGTTCAATGTGTCATTCTCTTTGAATAGGAGAGGTTTTATCTAATCCCTAAATAGGAGGGACAATTTATACTAAAATTATTTTATATTAACTTACTGCTCAGTAGAACACATTACAGATATGATGTTCATAAATGCTCCACGACAAAAAGAAAGCACACATTGCTGTTTTTAAGTTAATTTGATCAATGTATTTCTGCTTCAAAAATGTTATTGTAGAAATTGATACATTGTAGCTGACTATACTTTAATAAAAATTGTTTTAAAATGTTATTCTAGGTTATTAATCTGGGAGAGTTTTTAAAGCCAATGCGGTAAGTGTTCAGGGAAAAAAAAAAAACTATGCTGGGAACTCTTCCTGAAAATAGGCATTGCAACTTTAAGTTAAAAATCCTACGGAAAAAAAAAAAACAAAAAAAACCCCTTTTACTTAAAATGCCATTCTTTGGTTTCAGATTTATTCTTTCCTTCTGGAGAGAATGCTAAAGAATCCAAGGATGCAGTAAAGAAAGGCATTTCCAAATGTGAGGTATGACTATAGCTTTAAGAACTTTTCATATCACATACTTCACGAGTCTGGGCCAGATAATAGATAACGGATGTTAGCAAATACTTGTGTCCAATTAGAAGTGTGCTTGCATCATTACATATGCAATAAGAATGTAGCCTGTTGCGAAGCTTCTCTGGGAGCACAAAGACTCCTATTATTTCTGTCCGGAGCCATCACACTTGCCAGAATGTCTGTATCTACATTCCGTCGTGAAGCCCGTAGAAACCATTAATACCTTTCAGCCAAGGGGACAGATGGCTCCTATCCGCCCTTATTAGGTCACAAAGTAGTTGTGCATAGACATACTTCCATCTAATCTTAAGGCCACAATAGAACTTGGCGAAGAAAAGAAACTCGCTGGCTTAAGTCCAATTAAACTGAGTTTCTTATCCTCCAATACATTTTACATTTTCAACTATAGGGCAGAATTGCGCTTTTTGTGGCCTTGTAAAAGTTAGCCAACTTGACTTTAGCAAAACTGCAAACTAAACCAAACTAATAGTTCGAAGTCGGAGTATCGACGTGTTGGCAAAAACAAAACGAAAAAAAAAAAGATTTCTCGGGGAAAAAAAAATCTTGAAATAAAGGACAAAGTTTAAGACTTTGTATCCTAAGGAACGCTTTAATTATTCAAGGGTTTTTATGCGGAGAAGCTCCAAACTGTGGACTTTCTGCCACTAGGGGGCTTGGCGCGCAGACGTGAAGTTTTGCACTGTTCAGACTTGGATTAAGTAACTTTTAGAATTGCCTGTGGGTTGGGTGGGTGGGGTCCGGTGGCTTCGAGTGGGACCAGAATCTACATACCTGTCTGAAAGACTGCAAGGTGCTCTCGGCCTCCTCCCTCTGGACCATCTCCTCCTGCAATCTAGAAAGTCAGATATTAACTAAGTGAGAATCGCTAAACCGCCAGGGGCGGGGCGACCACACCCAACCACCACGTCCTCGCCGCTAGACAAGAGTTGCTGCGCCACCTCCCCGGGCGGCCAACGACCGCGGCTTTTAGAAGCGCTGCTTTCGGCTAGTTTTAGCGGGACCTTGGCAGCAGCGGGGAAAAGCAATCACGGTCGCCACAAAGACCAGCGAGGGGATCGCCACCCCGCCCCTCCCGGGGGAGACTCCGCAATCCCTTTGTCTGGCTCCCTCCACGGCCTTGGGGCTGGCAGCCCGCTAGAGGGAGGTCAAGAAACTTTGCAGAAGTTTGGGGAAACCGCATTCGTCGTTTGCAAGGGCTTTCGAGTACAGTGGTTGTTTTTAAAAATGTGCAACTTGAAACGGGGAGTTCTTGGGTGATGAGTGGGGGTGAAGGTGAAATGCTAACTTGCAAGGTCTGGGCTCAGGGCGAGGCTGCGCCGCTGCAGCCACAGCCTTGTCTCCCCGCAGTCCCCCAGGCAGCGGCTGCCGCGGCTACCTCCCCAAGGGCGTGGCAGCTCCCCGTTCCCCTCTTTCCCTCCCAGAGCCGCGCGTGGGCGCCGCCTTACTTCTCCCGGAGCCGCATGATGTCCTCGGCCAGGTTGTCGCGCTCCACCTCGACGCGGGCCTTGTCGTTGGTGAGCTGATCCACCTGCCGGCGCAGCTCGCGCATCTCCTCTTCGTAGAGGTCCCCCAGGCGCGACTTGCCCTGGCCCTTGAGCTGCTCGAGCTCGGCCAGCAGGATCTTGTTCTGCTGCTCCAGGAAGCGCACCTTATCGATGTAGTTGGCAAAGCGGTCATTCAACTCTTGCAGCTCCACCTTCTCGTTGGTGCGGGTGTTCTTGAACTCGGTGTTGATGGCGTCGGCCAGCGAGAAGTCCACCGAGTCCTGCAGCAGCCGCACCCCGGGCACACTGCTCCGCAGGCGCACGGCCGAGGAGCGCGTGGCATACACGCTTCCCGGGGACGAGGTGTAGAGGGTGCGGCTGGTGCTGGGGCGCAGCGCGCTGCCCAGGCTATAGGTGCGGGTGGACGTGGTCACGTAGCTCCGGCTGGAGCTCGGCCGGCTCGCTGTGCCCGGGCCGCCGAACATCCTGCGGTAAGAAGACGAGGACACGGACCTGGTGGACATAGCTGCAGAGGGTGGCGGTGGTCTGGGCGGCTGCGTTGGCGCGGACCGGCTCCGGGAGGAGAGGCGAGCAAGGGTTTGGTGGGTATGGGCGAAGGGAGTGCTGCTGCGTGTCTGGCGCGGGGACCCCGGAGCGAGAGTGGCAGAGGACCGGACCCCGCCGAGGGCGCAGTTTTTATACCCCCCTTGGAAAGCAGGTTTCCTCCCACTGCCATCCCGGCGGCGGAGTGCGCCAGCCAATGGGGACCCGGCGAGGTGCAGGAAGGCTGAGCCGGGGGTTTGGGGCGGGGGAGCCCTGGGGCCTTCCGCCTCCCCCATCTTCAGCAACCCAGACTGGGCACCGTCCCGTTACTTCTTTGCTGGATTGGGGTTTTCAGGGGCTTTCCTGATGATGGCCGGAGCTCTGCTCACCCCTGGCTGCTGAAAAAGGCGGGGTCACTAGGTGGTGGGAGAGCCAACCCCAGACCAGACAAGAGGGGTCCCGGGCACCGCGCCAAAGAGGCGTGGGGGAAGGCGAGCGGGTGGGAGGGGCGCGCGGCAACTTGGCTACAGGCGGCTGGGAGTGGGGTGGGTAGACCCCCGGGCAAAGAGGCAGGAAGAGGGGGAGTGCGGGATCCAGCAGATCGGAAGGCGTGGAGAAAGAAACAAAGAGGGCCTGAGATTGGAGCGTGGGGTGGGGGCGCGCACAGCCCAGGACAAAGGGCTCGGGCCCCGCGCAGCCTTGTGCATCTCCCATTTCGAAAGGGAGACCGATAGGTCTGCAGCTCTCTTCGTCCTCTGGTCTTTGGGATCCCTGTTCAGGGACCTAACGGGCTGGGTCCGGCTTTGGACGGCGCGAGCTGCGAGACGGCGGCCGAGGAAAGCCCGGGGGGAGAGGGGTGGGGTCGCTGAGTCACTGGCAGTGAGTCAGTGAGCCCTGCTGTCCCACCGGGCTTGAGGGCTCCTAGCGGTTCAGGGAAACCGTTAGACGAGATTGACTCAAGTCTCCCCGGCTCCGCGCGCGCTGTTCTAAGTTCCCCCCAACTTCGAACTGGGCCTCCTCTTTCCTGTGTGCAGTTCGCCTGCGTGGAGACTTAGAGCGCCCCTAAGTTCTTAAGAACTCGCCAAAGCCTGGTTTTGCTCCAACGTGCGGACTTCTCCTTAAGCGAGAAACTTCTGCAGAGGTTTCTTGCTAACCGCGAAACATCTCGCGCACCAGGAACCTACTCTGGGGAGGTTTTTCTTGCAAAGTTAGGTCCCACCCTTCCCTCCGGTCTCTTCTTGGTTTCCCCCTCCCCCTGTAAAACCACACCCGACTTTTTTTTTTCCTTACGAACTGTCTTTACTAGTATTTTTTTTTGTAGTTACAGAGATTAAACTGTAGAAAGAAATTGTTATGCAGTATAAACGATCTCTCAGAAGATTTTCTTTTTGTAAAAGATTTTTGGAATGACCACAAAAGGTTCTTCATTTTGCTTCTGGTTTCACTACCTATGAATGTCCCAAAACGCTCTAGTGACTTTGATGATCTCAATCTGTCAACACTAGATAAATATTTTATAAAATATATGTGGGTATTAGTCAGCGGGTGTGATACCATTCCATTTAATTTTGATTTTTTTAACTGAAATATACTGATTTACAATGTTGTGGTAGTTTCTGTTGTATAGCACAGTGATTCAATTGTACATATATATTCCTTTTCATATCCTTTTTCATTATAGGCTGTACTTGCCTGTGCTATACAGTAGGACCTTGCTGTTTATTTTATATATGTAGTAGATTTAATGCCATCCCTATCAAATTACCCAGGACATTTTTCACAGAACAGGAACAAATAATTCTAAAATTTGTGGAATAGCAAAAGACCCAGAATTGACAAAGCAATACTGAAGGAAAAGAGCAAAGCTGGAGGCATAACCTTCTCAGCCTTCAGACAATACTACAGAGCTACAGGAATCAAAACAGCATGGTATTGGCATAAAAACAGACATATGGATCAAGGGAACAGACTAGAGAGCCCAGAAATAAACTCACACATCCACGGTCAATTAATCTTTGACAAAGGAGGCAAGGACATACAATGAAGAAAAGACAGTCTCTTGGGTAAGTCTGTTGGGAAAACTGGACAGCCACATGTCAATCAATGAAATTAGAACACTCCCTGACACCAAACACAGAAATAAACTCAAAATGGCTTAAAGACTTAAACATAAGACAAGAAACCAGAAATCTCCTAGAAGGGAACATAGGCAAAACATTCTCGGATGTAAATCATAGCAGTGTTCTCCTAGGGCAGTCTACCCAGGCAATAGAAATAAAAGTGAATTAAACAAATGGGACCTAATTAAACTTACAGGCTTTTACACAGCACAGGAAACTATAAACAAAACAAAAAGACAACCTACAGAATGGAAGAAAATGTTTGCAAATGATGCAACTGATAAGGGCTTAATTTCCAGACAGAATATACAAACAGCTCATACAACTGAATAACAACAA